GCTTAGGTGATGCTCAATGCAGGCACCCGAGGCTGGGGCCAGAGTGTGAACTCCTCCATCCAGAGCTGAGGCCACCGCCCAGCCCCTTTGAAAAGTTCTGTCCACCATCCCTTGTAGAGAAGGAGGCTGGCAGACGAAGTCCCCATCTCGGCAGTGCCATGGACCCCCCACTGAGGCAAGTGGGACTTTATGGCCAGGCTACAAGGTGTGACGGAAAGCTGTGGGTTCAGGAGGCTAGTTGTAAAATGAGCCTACATATCAAAGAGTGGGGAAGAGTGACGCACGCCAGGACACAAGCGGTCTGTAGGTGTGAGCCAGTGAACGCAGAGGACTGGGGCATACTGGCGCCCAGTTAGGGAAAAGGTACAGCCGGCAATGTGGGCACTGCATGGCATAACAGAGAGCCAAAGGAGAGGAGCGAGAGGGACTAGCAGACATGGGGGAGAACCTTCGGGAAATGGATTTTGGCTGCAGGGGCTGAGGAGAACACAATGGGAAAGAGCTGCTGGCCTGAGATTGGAATTCAGCGAGAAACTAGCCTGGCAGTAGAGCCTCACTTGTAGACACGGAGTGATCATATGTTGAGAGCTTGCTGGGTACATTTTAACTCATTTCATCCTCATACCAGTCCTATGACGAAAGCATTCTTATTATTCCCACTTTACAAATGAGGAAACACAGGAGCAGGGAGACTGAGTTGCCCAAGTTACAGTTACAAGTGGCAAAAGAAACAGACCAACAATGGGATTCACTCTCAACTGGCCAAGTGCAAAGTGTATGTCCTTATACACTGGGTGACCTCCTACATAAAGGTCCCCTCCAGCCCTGGATTCACCGTGCTATGGTTCAGGTCATGAGGTGGGAGCAGCTTTAGTCTGGAATTTGGGGCTGCATCTGGAGTTCCAGCAGGAAGGATCTGGAACTCTGAGAGCCCTCCTGGGGACAGATGGATTAGAAGCAAAAAGGAGGGGTTTTGATAATAAGTCTCTAATTGGGACCTTGGCATCTACTGAGGGATGTTGTATTGACAGAGCATGGGATTTGAGGGGGATGGAACAGGGTGATGGAAAGTTGCTTGCAGGGGAGCAGAAACCCTCAGCGTCTCTGGTGATCCTGGCAGCATTTACCAAATATGAATGTAAGAGTCAGGGGAAGGTGTCACAAGCAAAGTGATTGTCCTACAAGAAGTTGTCATCCTGAAGGTGGCCGAAGTGGTGAAGGCCCTTGAAGAGAGGTAGGAGGCAGCTGGCAAAGGGCAACTCAAACCTCAGAGCATCTGCCAAATGTGATCCAAAAAGTCTTTAAGATGCTCCCTCTCTCCAACAATTCATGTCCCTTTCACCACCTCCAGGAAGCCTTCCTAGATTGTCTGTGTTCAGCTCTGCTCCCTCCCTTCCTCTGTATCCTCTAGCTGTTCCTTTCAAGTGCCTCCATGCCTGGATTATCTACTGTGTGTGTGTGTGTGTGTGTGTGTGTGTGTGTGTGTGTGTGTGTGTGTG